GCATAGTTAAGGGCAGGGGTTCTGAGACTTGGGAATTTCAGGGACTAGTAAAACTCAGAAAATAAAACTGGGTCCTGACAGAGGGTCATTAACTTTTTATTTCATCAGTCAAGACCATTCAAAAGAATACCATTTATAATACCATTACTACTAATAATACTAGAAATATCTAGCCATTATAGAGAGAGCTTATGATGTACCAGGCACTGTGCTCAGTCTTCACATTAATTGTCTGGTTTGAGCCCCATAAAAAACCCTATTCTGTAGGCATTATTATTATCCCCCTTTTATAAGAGAAGGAAATGGAGAAAGAAAAATATTATGTAAATTGTCCCTGAGTCTGTGCTGAGAACCATTATAGCATACTCTCATCCTTGATTCCTCAAAGACATCTTTGAAGGCCATTCGCGGTGGCTCACGCCTATAATCCCAGCACTCTGGGAGCCTAAGGTGGATGGATTACCCTGAGCTCATAGGTTTGAGACCAGCCTGAGCAAGAGTGAGGCCCTGTCTGTAAAAATAGCTGGGCGTTGTGGCAGGTGCCCTGTAGTCCCAGCTACTCGGGAGGCTGAGGCAAGAGAATCTCTTGAGCCCAAGAGTTTGAGGTTGCTGTGAGCTATGACGCCACAGCACTGTACCGAGGATGACAAAGTGAGACTCTGTCTCAAAAAAAAAAAAGACATCTTTGAAATCAATCAGGCACACAGTGGCATTCCTGACAATCAAATAAAAGCTCAGTCAGTGAAGTCAGACAGCTCTGAGTCTGACTTTGGGACAATTCACTTAACACTCCCTGTGCCTTAGTTTGTTCAATTATAATATGAAAGTACTAATACTGACTTTCTGATGTCATTGTAAGGGGTAAGTGACAATATACACTGAAGGCCTAACACAGTACTTGGTACATTAAGAGGACACCCAATACATACCATCTGTAAAACTTAATATTACAAGTCCTCCTGCCATACCCGCGGGGTCTCCTGGGCGGCCGAGGTTTCCACGATCTGAATGTGGGGAAAAGACAAAGACAAAGCAAGTTGGTATGGTTACTACAGCTTGGTCCTGCTATTGAGGTCAGATATTTGCAGTGGCTGACTCTTCCCCCTCCTTCCTTAACTCCCTCTAGCTCACTCTCCATCATTTATTTATTTATTTATTTAATTTATTTTTTTGAGACAGAGTCTCACTATGTCACCCTTGATAGAGTGCTGTGGCATCAAAGCTCACAGCAACCTCAAATTCTTGGGCTTAAGCAATTCTCTTGCCTCAGCCTCTCAAGTGGCTGGGACTACAGGCACCTGCCACAACGCCCAGCTACTTTTTTATTATAGTTGTCATTGTCATTTGGCAGGCCCTGGGCTGGGTTCTAACCTACCAGCCCCAGGGTATGTGGCTGGCACCTTAGCTGCTGAGCTACAGGCGCTGAGCCCATTTATTTATTTTTTAAGGAAAGCAGAAGGTTTACAAAGCAGGATACACTTGCCATAGACACCAAATGGACCTCTATTGCCAGGGCAAGTAGGCAAAGAGGCAAAGAGGCCTCACTCTCCTTTATTAACTGAAGCAGTCAGAAACTTGTGGGCATTGCTTCTCATTGGTTGACTGGTGTTGCTCTGGCAGCACATGTAAACATTCTGTCTGGGAATCTTGAGGAAAAGCTGCTGAGAGACTCCTTAGGGTTCACCAGCTACTACTGCTACTGCTTAAACAAGGATCTGGTTACTCAGGTACTGGGGCACCTTTGGGGTAAAGAAGTCCACAAAAATGACCTGCAGTGATTCTCCCTATTATTTATCCAGACCCCAGACTTGATCATGCCCCCATCTCAGCCATCTGAAGGAAGGGAAGGGAAGAAAAAGAACTAGGTGAGACCAGTGGGCAGGAGGCTTAAGGATGATGCTTGCCTGCAGAGTTGGGAAGACAGAAAGTGAGCTGCTTCCTGGGTCCGGCTTTCTACCTTCCCTCTCCTGTTGCAGCACAGGGCTCCCCAGGAAGGTCATGAGGAGGTTTTTTTTTTTTTTTTTATTGCTGTTTGTTTGTTCTGAGACAGAGTCTCACTCTGTCATCTTGGGCAGAGTGCCTCACAGCAAACTCAAACTCTTGGGCTCAAAAAATCCTCTTGCCTAGCCTACCAAGTAGCTGGGACTACAGGCACCCACCACTACACCCATCTAGTTTTTCTACTGTTAGTAGACACCAGCTCTCACTTTTAGTCTGACCTTGAACTCCTGAGCTCAAGCAATCCACCCACCTCAGCCTCCCAGAGTGCTAAGATTATAGGCATGATCACACCACCGGGTCCGGCCCGTTTGCATTTTTTTTGTTGTTTCTTTAATAAAATACCTTTATTTCAAAATCCAAACAGTGTAGCCAAAATAATAATGAGCCCCTCATTCAGCCTCAATGCCCTATTTTCTTTCTATTCATGCAGTCTCAATTCTCAGAAAATAGGGTGCATGTTGTTTTAGAGCAGTAATGTATTTCCCCCTTACAAAACTCCTAGTATTATAAGTGACTCGATACAACAGAAGGATAATTTAAAAAACCCATTATATATTATAATGCCATTTACAGAACTAAAACTCTCACTCCAATAATGTCCCACAACTTTAGGCTATAGAGAAACCAGGCATTCTTTTTATTTTTTTGCAGTTTTTGGCTGGGGCTGGGTTTGAACCCACCACCTCTGGCATATGGGGCCAGCGCCCTATCCCTTTGAGCCACAGGCACTGCCTAAAACCAGGCAGTCTTCATCTTCTTCCCTGCAATATGTGAGATAACAGGGAGGTGAAGGGAAGTCAATTGTTCTTTTTGATGGTTCTCTCTGGTTTAGGGAGATCGAAGGAAAGCCCCTTCCGAAGCTTGTTGATCTGTAAGGGCCTTTAATTCAAAATACTCTTTATGACAAGGAGTTATATTTTGGGGTGATATTTCCTCAGATTCTTCAGCCCCCCTACCCTTCCTGAATCTTGGAGCGATAAGAGCAGTATATTTACAAGCACAGGCTGTGGAGCCAGACAGTTTCCTCATTTTCATATGGCATAAGAGGCCCTCTGTTTATGATTTAGTGTCCTAGTAAAGAACTGTAGGTATGCTAAAATGAGGATAGTGGAGAAGGGTTAAGTCAAGGGAATAATTACCAAGGTATGGCCAGAGAGCAGGAAATGAAAGAAAGTGCAATTTCCCCTGGCTAGTAACAGGGCAGCCCAGGGGTTGAGAGGAAAGAATAGTTACCCTTACTAGGCTGAGAGGTTGTGTCAAAGAGCTTCCCTGAGAGAGAAGCTGGGGCCTTCTCCATGTACCCAGCTACAGGCAACCCTGTTAGGGGAGAGCCACCAGAGATATACACCTGGATCTCACCCTCCTCCCCGTCAGTCTGGTCTCTGTATTGTGTGAAACCTCCTAGGAGCCAGAAGGCACAGGAGAGCCCATTCACTGGTCCAGTCTGGTTTGCCTTCCAAGGCAGTGAAAAGGGAGAGATGGGGAGAGTGTGGGTCTGGAAGGGCAAATGGAAGGTATCTAGTTCATGATATCACAGAGCTCTGGTGATGGTTAAATGAAACACGATACATTAAACACCCCCAGTGTGGGACCTTATTTATAGAAAATAAATACCTCCCTGTTGGAGAGAGATTTTGACTCTCATGCAGACCCTATTGCAAAGATTGCATGCAAGGAATTTAAAACTATGCTATCAAAAGATAAAAGTAGGCTGGGCATGGTGGCTCACACCTGTAATCCTAGCACTCTGGGAGGCTAAGGCAGATGGATGGCTTGAGCTCAGGAGTTCAAGACTAGCCTAAGTAAGAGCAAGACTCCATCTCTACTAAAAATAGGGAAATTAGCTGAGCATGGTAGTGGGCACCTGTAGTCCCAGCTACTTGGAAGGCTGAGGCAGGAGAAATGGTTGAACACAGTTTGAAGTTGCTGTGAGCTAGGCTGACACCATGCCACTCTGATCTGGGCAACAGAATGAGACTCTGTTTCAAAAAAAAAAAAAAATAGGCTCTGCTCCTGTGGCTCAAGCGGCTAAGGAGCCAGCCACATACACCTGAGCTGGCAGGTTAGAATCCAGCCTGGGCCCACCAAACAACAACAGCTGCAACCAAAAAATAGCCGGGTGTTGTGGCGGGTGCCTGTAGTCCCAGCTACATGGGAGGTGGAGGCAAGAGAATTGCTTGAGCCCAGGAGTTGGAGGTGGCTGTGAGCTGATACCATAGCACTCTACCCAGGGTTACAGCTTGAGGCTCTTTCTCAAAAAAAAAAAAAAAAAAAAAAGAGCTCAAATAAAAAGAGAAAAGAGCCATATGTTCTCAGTTGTTCATAGAAGGGATTCAGGCTCTATTAAAGACTCAATTAGAAATCAATATTGTTAGCACTCCGAAGAAATTAGAAATCATTCTATTACATTCCAATTTAAGTCTTCATGGTTTTGAGAATGTAAAAATCCTTGGTTTTGGCTGGGCGTGCTGGCTCATGCCTGTAATCCCAGCACTTTGGGAGGCCGAAGCAGGTAGATTGCCTGAGTTCACAAGTTCGAGACCTGCCTGAGCCAGAGAGAGACCTGGTCTTTAAAAATAGCCAGGCATTGTGGCAGGTGCGGGTAGTCCCAGCTACTCAGGAGACTGAGGCAAGAGAATCGCTTGAGCCTAAGAGTTTGAGGTTGCTGTGAGCTGTGATACTATGGCACTCTACCGAGGATGACAAAGTGAGACTCTGTCTCAAAAAAAAATAATCTTTGATTTTCATGAAAAGTATATCTCAGCAGCCAAGTACAAAGCATATACAGTGAGAGCTCACTCCAACCCCAAACCCTCACTCCCCCTCCACAGAGGCAACAATTGCTTTTTGTGTCTTGGGATTCTTTAAGAGATTATACTCACATGAGCGTGTTCACATGTGTGTGTGCACAGACGTGCATGTAGAGAGTAATTTTTGGAGTTTCCTTTTCCAGGAAAAATAAAATCAATGTGACGAAAAATTGCAAAAGTGAGAAGACAATGGATGTGACTAACATACCTACAAGCCAGAAGAATGTGGATAAACCAGATGATAGTAAAGTGAACAAAACAGCTCTAGCTGTAGTTAAGGATGCCATCAATGCTGCTATTAATTTTGTGACAGGTAGTAACCCTGTTTGAGTACCCAAAGAATTGTCTCATTATGTAGGGCCACACCACCAGGCAACTAACAAATTCACGCCTGTTTGCAGATATTGAATATCCCATCAGAAACATCAGGTGGATCACACACGGGGAATTCACAGCAGAAAAGGGCCGCAGACAAATTGACGCATTTGTTTTGGTAAGTTGGATGACCACTTCAGTTTGGTACATGAGAGTGAAGAACAATAAAAAGGTTCTTTTTGATCAAAAGTCTGAGGATCAGAAAACCAAGATGATATCAAAGGGGACTAGAGTTAGTAAAACTTGTTTCTATCTTGGTTCCAAAATCAAGGTGGGAGGGTCTCTGAAGGTGAAAGGCACAATTGTATTACCCTGTGTCTGTATCATCCTAACTTTACATTTCCCTAGGAAAATCTGATATTCCCAGTTAAGCCATTTGTCCATGTTGGTGCATTAAATGGGGGCCTCACGGCCTAAGGAGGGAGCTGCTCCTTTCAAATAGGAGTTCTCAACCACCTACTTTAGAATGAATGTTCATGCCCATCATAACAGAGGGGATGCAGGTGATCATAAGTCTTTCTGATTTCGCTTTGGCCTATATTGCCTGCAGAGTAAAATACATATGCCCACAATGAATTCCTTTTTCTTTTTTTTTTTTTTTTTTTGAGACGGAGCCTCAAGCT